TTGAAAATAAGCAGAGTGCTCAGGACTGGCAAAGTGCAGCAAGACAAGCACACTCACACCCTGACAGTGGGACACAAAGTCAACGCCGCACCATCAAGACCTTGAAGGTTCACACCCCACCAGCTCAGACTTCACCTTTTAGACCCTCCCCAGGGAAACAATCATGGTTAGAGAAAAGGACTCACGTATAAAGGGTGCTTTGTTGCAAGTTTACTTACAATGGTGATACAGAGCCTGAATGCCCAACACTGAGGGAGTAATTGTTAAATCAAAGATGAAAACTCATATCATGAAATAGGATGAAACCACTAAAATCTCCCAGCTTTGAAGATTAGCGTGTTGTGAGACCATTCCCATGGCCCTCAATCACATTAAGGGAAACACACCAAGCCTATGAAACTATATATAACATTTTCCCTGATGTTGAATGACTGAATAAATAAACCAGGTATACAAAAGGGGCAGAAACAAAATAAGCTAATATTGGCTAACTTAGTGATAAGATTATGAGTTATTCACATTGTATTTTTATTTTTATTTTACATTTTTTATAATTTTTTTAACCGTGAATATCTAGAACTTGAAAACTCAGGAAAATAACAAATGGTGACAAATAAGGAAAGAATTAACTCATGGAATGAAAAAAAAATTAACAGTCAACCCTACTAAAGGCTTTCCAAAAACCAAAAACCAGTCTAGAACGCTTTCCACACACACTCTATTTTTCTTTATGTCTCACGAGCGACCATGATGCTCAGGCTCCATTCCTGTCTAAAGAAACGTAACCAGGCTGGGCGCAGTGGCTCACACCTGCAATCCCAGCACTTTGGGAGGCCAAGGCCGGTGAATCACGAGGGCAGGAGTTCGAGACCAGTCTGGCCAAGATGGTGAAACCCTGTCTCTACTAAAAATACAAAAATTAGCTGGGCACAGTGGCAGATGCCTGTAATCCCAGTTACTCAGGAGGCTGAGGCACAAGAATCGCTTGAACCCGGGATGTGGAGGTCGCAGTGAGCTGAGATGGCGCCACTGCACCCTAGCCTGGGCAACAGAGCAAGACTGTCTCAAAAAAAAAAAAAAAAAGACAAGAAAAGAAAAGAAAAAGAAAAAAGAAACACAACCAGAGCAGCTTTGCAAGGTGGACCTGGGTTGTGCCTAGGCCTCCCGAGCCTACCCCTCACCTGGAGCTGCTCTTCAGCTCCCGGTTTTTTTTGTGTGTTTTTTTTTTTGAGGTGGAGTCTTATTCTGTCACCCAGGCTGGAATGCAATGGCGCCATCTTAGCTCACTGCAACCTCTGCCTCCGGGGTTCAAGCGATTCTCCTGCCTCAGCCTCCTGAGTAGCTGGGACTACAGGCGTGTACCACCATACCCAGCTGATTTTTGTTTTTGTTTTTGTTTTTAGTAGATACTGGGTTTCACCATATTGGCCAGGCTGGTCTCAAACTCCTGGCCTGAAGTGATCTGCTCGCCTCAGACTCCCAAAGAGCTGGGATTACAGGCATGAGCCGCTGCAACCAGTCCTAGCCACATCCTTACTTCCCCATCTGCAAACAGGCATAGCCCTGCTTGATCTAATTAGAGAAGTACTGTTTTCTTATTTTTTGTAGTATTAAAACACACACACACACACACACACACACACACACACACCCCTCAAACTATCTTTCACTCATACATAGTGATACTTCTTACACACAATGGATATCTTATTGGAATTTGTGTTTTCATAGATCCCAGCACTATGAACACTGTGTCCCTTTATAAAGGGTTTCTAACATTTCCAGTTTACTTGGTTGTTTTCATTGCCAGTGTCAAAAATGGTCAGTTTATACTCCCCAGTTTTGTTGCCTAATTATTTTAACTGATATTCTTTTCATTTTTTTCTTTAGTATAAAGACAAAACACTAATTCCTATTCCTTTCTTCATTCCCATAAAATATATAAGATGGGAGAAAAATTTCTGCTCCAGAAAAGAAATCCATGACCCTGACTGGGTAAGAATCCTGTATTAGTCCATTTTCACACTGCTATAACTACCTGAGACTGGATAATTTATAAACAAAAGAGGTGTAATTGACTCACAGTTCCGCATGGTTGGGGAGGCCTCAGGAAACTTACAATCATGGTGGAAGGCGGAGGGAAAGCAAGGATATTCTTCACATGGCAGCAGGAGAGAGAGGGAGTGTGGGGGAAACCACCACTTTTAAAACCACTGGATCTCATGAGAACTCCCTCACTATCAGGAGAACAGCACAGGGGAAATCCCCACCATGATCTAATCACCTCCTACCAGGTCCCTCCTTTCACATATGGGAATTACAATTCAAGATGAGATTTGGGTGGGGATACAGAGCCAAACCATATCAAATCCCCTGCCAGGAACTTTTTCTACATGGAATGTACACGTCTGCATTTGGCAATCAGAATATTAAAAGTTGGGAGAAGTCTGTATTTCTTTATTTTTTAATTAAAAAACAGATTCATGCTCTGATCTGGTCAGCATATGATCTCTTATATAATCTTGCAGCTAGACACTAAACACCTGTGCAAACGCTTCTCCCAGGATTTGGTCTACTCTGCCTGAGCAGGGTAAGTAAAAAATTCTTTGTATTGACCCAGTCAGCTCCTAAAACCAGAATGTTCACTTGGAATTTCATTTGAAGTATTTCACTTGCCTTTTGAACATTTAAGTAGAGAGGAATGTATGTGACGGGAAAACAACTAAAAAGAAAAGTATCATGTTCTCTGCTCCCGCACAACACAGCAGCCACAAGAGTCACCAGCACAGGAACTGAGGGAAAGTTCCAAGAGGAAGGAATTAGGGAAGAAGGAGGTGGGAGGAGGAAACAGGGTATAGGAAGAAAAGGAGAACTTGGTGGATTCTAAGAAACACAACCCCCTGCTGAAACAGACCATAAGATACCACCAGCCCTCTGAGATTACAGGATATCCTCAGAGGCTATAGCTAAAATCTTCAGCAGCCTTTGGGCAATCACCATTACATACTTCAGCCGAGCTCTGAATGTCAAGGAGCAGAGAGGCAAAGAACTGGGAAGATAGTGTGCTCACCAAAAAATATGGCAAGTGCCAAGGGCCTCAGGCTGGCATGTGTGGGAAGTCTGAGTGAACCCGTGTGGCTGAAGAATGGCAAGATGAGGTAAGAGGTTAGTAAGGCCAGATACCACAGGGCTACAGGGTCTTCTAGGCCATTGAAAGGACCTTGGACTTTATTCTTGGTGCCACAGAAACCTCTGGATGGTTTATAATTGGTTTTTGAGACAGGTCTGTATCATTTAATTTTCACAAATCAAAGTATTAAGTCTATAATAGATTAAATGACACTCACATTCCTTAACATGGTCCACAGAGCCCTGCATCTCATGGCCCCCACCTCACCAAACTTACCTTCTTCACCTGCTCCTGCTCCAGGGCTCTGAGGTCTTAATGTATCTGTTCCTGCCATTCAGAATATTCTCCCTAGAGCTCCCCACCCTGACACATATGAATACCCCGACACTAACTCTCTCTCCAGTGCCCTCTCACCTGTTCCTTTCTGTTTAAATGTCATCTTCTCAGAACTCTTTTCTGGTTCCTTGGTCTAAAGTCAGTTCTTCCTGTCCCTCCCCACAGCACCCTGTTCTTTCCTTCACAGCATTAATGACAATGACAAGTATAAATTTACTGAGTGTCTGCCTTTTACACTAGACAGTTTTGAGAGAGTAGAAAACATGTCTGTTTTGTTCATGACTGTATATGGAGTACTTGATAAATATCTGATAAATAGATACATAAAACAATACATAATAAAACAAAAGTTGGTTATTTGAAAATATCATCTAAATTGACAAACTTTTAGACTGACCAAGAAAAAAATAGAAGATTTAAATAACTAAAATAAAGAATGAAAGAAGTGACAATACCACCAATCTTACAAAGTAAAAAGCATGGGTGAATCTATGAACAACTGTATGTCAACAACTTAGATACTTCAGATGAAATGGACAAATTACTAAAAGGTACAAATTACCACAACTGATTCAACAAAAAATACAAAATCAACAGACCTATAAGAAGAGATTGAATTGGTAATTTAAAAGCTTCTCACCAAGAAAAACCTAGCCCACATGGCTTCTCTAGTGAATTCTATCAATCATTCAAAGAAAAATCAATACCAATCATCCACAAACTCTTCCAAAAATTAGAAGAGAAGGAAACACTTCCTAACTCCATGAGACTAGTACAAACCTGATACCAAAACTAACCAACAATATCCCAAGAAAAGAAAGCTACAGACCACAACTTTTGTGAATAAAGATGCAGAAATCCTCAACAAAATATGCCTGAGTAAACTCTATACAAATAAGACACAGTTAACATCATACATAATGGTGAAAGACTAAATACTTTCTAAGATTAGGAGTAAGACAAGGATGTCTACTCTCACCACTTTTATTCAGTGTTGGACTGGAGGTTCTAGCCAGGGTAATTAGGCAAGCGAATGAAATAAAAGGCATTCCAAGTAGAAAGAAAGAAGCCGTAAGATGTTAATAGTGTTTTTCTTTTTTGAAAAAGGTAATATAATAATATAATGTGTTAACTGCTTACAGTACTTGGCAGGCATTCAATAACAACTGGCTATTATGTTCATATAATGACATTTTCTCTTCCTAAATGTTTGTTGTGCTATGAAACCAGGTTAAGATATGACTGTGAGAAGACAGAGGAAACACCTGTCTTTGGGAATTGGTACCTGGGCATTAAGAGCCTTTCCAAAATAAAATATTTATATGTACTGCACTTATAGGAATTTACTTGTAGCTCAGAGTGATAGCAAATTATGTTGTTTATCCTTATTAAGACTCAATCACCTGATGACTTTGCAACTGTAAAATGCAAAACCGGGACCTTTAAGAGCAAAAGGCATTCTGTTTCCATGGCCAGCAACTCCCACAATGCACTAGGAGCAGATGGGTTCAAAAAGCAGAAACCACGTACTCACATTCCTCAAGACGGGGAGTGCCAACTGCTCAAAAGAAGTCATATCAACCACATACTGCCCAACTCGGCATTCACGTTTTCCAGGTGGAGGCTCTAACCTGAAGGAAAAGACATTGTGTTCTTTGTCGAAAAACTCCTGTATTGATTTCTGGTTTTTAGCTGCTCCACTGAGCCTCTGGCATTCCACATACGCTAAATCATCCTTAAAATTTTTCATCCTTAAAAATGAAAAACACAAAATGCGGTGGTCTGCTGCCGAGACCAGCTCGGTCGGGGAGACCCTAACCCAGCAGTGCTAGAGGAATTAAACACACACAGAAATATAGAGGTGGGGAGTGGGAAATCAGGGGTCTCACAGCCTTCAGAGCTGAGAGCCTCAAACAGAGATTTACCCACATATTTATTAACAGCAAGTCAGTGATAAGCATTGTTTCTATAGATTATAGATTAACTAAAAGTATTCCTTGTGGGAAATAAAGGGATGGGCTGAAATAAAGGGATGGGCTCTGGCTAGTTATCTGCAGCAGGAGCATGTCCTTAAGACACAGATCGCTCATGCTATTGTTTGGGGTTTAAGAACGCCTTTAAGGGGTTTTCCACTCTGGATGGGTCAGGTGTTCCTTGCCCTCATTCTGGTAAACCCACAACCTTCCAGCGTGGGCGTCATGGCCATCATGAACATATCACAGTGCTGCAGAGATTTTGTTTATGGCCAGTTTTGGGGCCAGGTTATGGCCATATTTGGGGGGGCCTGTTCCCAACAGTCTGCAAAGCTGATCAGGTTTTCTCTGCTTTGACCAGAGCTACCCTAAGTGTCCACACCTCCAACAATGGGCCTTGCAGTTACGGCAGGGCTATCTCTTAAGGTCCAAGCAGCTACTACATCAACAGTCTTTGAAAAGTGGCACCAGAAACAGGACTAAGAATTATAAAGTGAGAGGAGTTTATGACTTGGTGAATAAGTTTTAAGTAAAATATCACTTTCTTATACTTTTTTCATGTGATGGCTTCATTCTGTTTTCTGTCTCTGAGAAATCCCTAAAGGCCCAAGATTCTTGAGGATAGATGAGATCACTGGGCTCAACCCTGTGCCCAGGGAGAAACTCAGTCTAAAGGGAAAGCAGATAGGCATCCAAGGACCCAACAGAGTATCTGCTTTCGGTGAATTTAGCTCTTGTTGAAAAGCTCCCAAAGCACAGATGGAAAAGGGAGGTTAGATAACAAAACACCACAGAAATGAAAAATCAGTACCCAACTCTCGATAAAGGCCCCCGGGTTCCAGACAGCGTGACGACATCGAATCCTATTCTTCTCCCTCCCTGTCTGACTTCTTCTGTATAAAATCCATCGACAGGCACACCAGAGGATTTTAAAACCTCACTGGCTTTCTGGATCAATGTTGTTTTTCCAACCCCTAAAATAAAAAAAAAAAAAGAAAAAAAGCCCATTAGGAAACATTCCCTTACTAGAGCACACACAGCCCTTGCGGACTCTGAGACAGCAATTACGGTGGGTAGAGAAATGGGCTGTAAGTGGATTTATGAATATGAACTTCAATTTAATTTTGATTGCTCCAGGTGTTAAAAATGATTAATTTCAAGTAGAAACAAGCATAATAAAAACAAGGATGATATCTTGAGGTTTATTTTTAAATTGTGAAACACTGTTAATTTTGTCACATACACAATCCCAGAATCAACTGAGTGGTTCCTGATGATATTCTCACGTGCCATTTGCATCCTGTGAAATGGTTTACAGTTTCCATTTTTCTGCCCGGGAAGTAACACTGCTCACACTTGAGTCAGGGGCTGGGAATTTAAGATTTCAGCTTTCAAGAGATTACAAATGGACCTACACTTAACAGTGGGAAAATCAATTTGTTCCTCCTTGGACTTACATTGCTGTAACTCCTGAAAATGTGTCTCTTAAATACCATTAGCATCCCTGTTAATGGTCACTTTCAAACTTTTTCATAACAGCAAGCCTATCAGGTTGGCAACTCCTTCCAACATCATCTTCTCCAGGGTCTGTAAGCATTTCTTCACCTTTATCCCCCACACCTTCCCCAATTTGAACCTATGCACCTCCGCCCCCTTATCCTCCCCACCTTGATCCTTCCTTTCCATCCACCCTGGCCAGCTGACTACTCTGATGAACTCATGGGTTTATAAGCACCAACAGGTGCTACCAAATACAGTAATACTAATCACTGACATTATGGAGCCAGACACTGTTCTAGCACACTTCGGAAGCATTTTCTTGGTTAAGTCCTTGCAACCATGCTCGGAGGCAATTACCATGTTTATGCATAGTTTACAGATGAAGAAACTGAGGCACACAGTGGTTAGGTATTTTACCCAAGGCTATACCCCTTATAAGGACCATACCTTTCAACATGGGCCTTTACCTGTTACCATGACTTTTTAAAATATGAGTCTTGTTCCCAATATGGATTTAAGTAAACGGCATCATGACTACCCTACAATGGAAAGAGAAAACTCCCAGCATGTCTGCAAGTGAGCTATTTTGAGATACTACAGAGTTGCAAATCATGCTATTTCTAAGACTACCCACTCTTTTAAGCCTCCTTGACATAAAATATGATCCATTATTCTTATTTAATGTATCTATCTTCACACTTCACATTAAAATAATGGCACCTGGCTTTCTGGAACATGAACAGCAACCCAAGAGGATTCTGGCTACAGTGAGCCACAGTGAGCATGCGGCTGGTAGAACTGTGGAGAACATAAAATGATGAAATTCTAATCCAGCCCTGGCCCTCAGTAACAACTGCTTTAGGAGAGTCACTAAAGAATCTGTTTCATGCAAGTAATGGCACTGCTGAATGTGTAAGCTGGTACTCCTTTTCTGAAGGGCAATTTCAATGTGCCTACCACAGCACCCTGCAGTTCATGACCAGGAATTCATCCTCAGGAAACAACATCAACAGTACAAAACGTGTGAAACGGGACATTCACTGCACCGTTCTTTGTAATAGCATAACACTGAAAACAACCTAAATGTTGATTAGTAAGAGAATGCTAACTCATGGCACCACGCATACAATAGCACATAAATACACAGGAATACCATGCAGCCATTAAAAAATATACCGCTTATGTGTATTTATTAGCATGGAAAATAGACCACAGTGTATGAAAATAATATATGAAAAAAGCAGGTTAATAGCAGAAACCATTCCATTATGTTTTTTTAAAAAATGGTCAAGTACGTATGTGTCTACAGAAAAAAAAAAATATCAGGAATACAGAACAAAGATTTACAATGTTCATTTCTGTATGTTGAAATTCCCTGTGATTGTCACTTTCTTCCTTAAAACTTTTTTTTTTTAATTCTTATCCTGAATGGTTCTTACTCTTATCCTAACAAAAAACGCTGTTTATATTTTGAAAAAGGTAAAATGGAGCAATGGTAACTATTCCTGTTCACAAAGGGTATACTCTGGGGACTGTATGTTGTGTAGAAAATAGTACACCAACAAATAGGAAGCATTAGGGCAAAGTCCCTTTCGGCTTCTTCAGCTCTAGGAATCTTCTTTCAGTTAATTTTTTCTTCATTAATTAAGCTGCTACCCCAGTGCTGTCTGGATAAGAAATGATCTCTGCTTCAGGAGACCTCGAGATGGTAGCTGTATACCAGGCACAAACAGATCTGAAAGCTCTGGAATTATTTTGGTTCTGGTTCTCTCCTAAGCAAATCCTCAGATAAAGATTCAAGTGCAGGTAGTTTAACCTGGGCAGTGACAACATGATGGACTGGTAGGGAAGAAATTCAGAAAGGGAAGGGAAGGACACCAGCATGAGGTGCACTATCAAGCAAGTTCCACTGGGGGCAGCTGGAGCTTCATCCCACTGGGGAATCCTAAGGGACAAGTCAGGGCAAGTGGCTCAGTTATCCTGTCTGAGGAGTGAGGAAGTAGGGAATTTATCAACTAACTTTCACCAATCACCGGTTGAAGGCTAATCCCAGTGCACAGGAATTCCCTGGCTCTTCTGGCCTGCTCTGTGTGCAGGCCAAGTGGGCTCCAGGGACCAGAGAAAGCCCTCCAAGATGAGTCACAGGTACAGACAGTTGGAAATCGGAAAAAATGCTAAGTGCCAGGGACACTAAGAGGATATGCAACGAAAAGTGACCTCTTTGCGAGGAGACTTTACCTGATGGTCTGAACATGTTGAGAAGGCAGAAAGAAACTAGGCAAATAAAAATACCAGACAATAACTCCTAATGGGGAAAAAAAGTTGTGTGTAAAAGGAAAAAAAAAAAAAGAAAAATTAGAGGGCATGGGGGTTCATGCCTGTAGTACTAGCTACTAGGGAGGCTGAGGTGGGAGGATGGTTTGAGTCTGGGAGGTGGAGGCTGCAGTGAGCCAAGATTGTGTCACTGCACTCCAACCTGGGCAACAGAGAGAGAGCTTGTCTCAAAAAAAAAAAAAAAAAAAGAAGGAGGAAAAGAAAGATAGGTAAGGTGGCTCACACTTATAATCCCAGTATTTTGGGAGACCCAGGTGGGAGGATCATTTGAGGCTAGGAGTTGGAGATCAGCCTGGGTAACATAACAAGAGACAGGTCTCTACAAAAAAACAAAAATTACCCGGGTGTGGTGACATGCGCTTCTAGTCCCAGCTATTCAGGAGGTTGAAGCGGGAGGATCACTTAAGCCTAGGGAGTTTGAGAATGCAGTGAGCTTTAATTGTTTCACTGCACTCCAGCCTGGGTGATAGAGCAAGATCCTGTCTCTAAAATAAATAAATAAATGGAAGATAAACGATAGATTATTATGTGGCTCTGTTGTGATTATCTTTACATGGCCATAATACTATAAACATTGACTAATGTAAGTTACATTGTAACTACATTAAGAAGAGGAGGAGAAAAGACAAAGGTGTGTGAATTTGAGGACAGGTTTAAGAGAGCTACACTGTAGAATCTGAGTCTTTCAACTACCTGTAGATAAGACTTTGATAAAGAAAGGAGAAGCAAGAACCACCACCAATACAATCACGGTAACAGGACACCTCCATTATAAAACACACAGATGCCTTGGGGTCAACCTGCTGAGTATCAAACTGCATTCCAAGTTTCAAATAAAGGACCGACAAACCAACTTTCAGAAAACAGTTCTTTGCAGTACTTAGGAGTGACTTTAGACAGCAGGCATTTCTCAAACCACCCTCCTCCTCCTCCTCACCCTCTGCTCCCCATCTCCCCCATCCAATGCCTGATAAAATTCCAAAGTCTGCAATATTAGCTGTAGTCTTTGCTACTTACGGCTAAACATAATCATTAAAATAAAGTGAAAGAGAATTCTAGATCCAGGGTTACGGCCTTTGATACCTGAACCCACAATAAACTTCAAAATTAGATTTGCCTTAAAAAGCAGCTGAAATCACTCTCTCCACTCTTAGCACGTCTTTCTTGTTTTTAGCCTATCTGATGCGACCACCACCATCCTACCTGTCCTTTTTAGTAATGCTTGATAAATGGGTCGCGCCTTGATTTAAAAGCATCTCCTCCTACACCTCTCATCTGACCTCAACGCTATCCCACTTCTCAGATGAGAACTCCACAGGCCACAGGGTTGAGGGATCTGACAGACGTCAGGAGGGGACAGCGACAGGAACAAGCAAGCGTGTCTAAGAAGGGCTCCTGTAGGTACCAAAGCTTCTCCACCTGCTGCCTCAGCTGTGGTGGGAATTCGTGGGGATGGAGACGGGGATGGGGGTGGGGGGATGAACTCAGATGGGAAAGAAAGGTTACAACTTCAGCTTTGCTCTCCTCCAACTAAAATTTACCATGTTTTTGCACGATGAATGTAGCAAAGACCCACAGTAAGGAAGTACCTGTGACTACCAATAGAAATCAGACATCTCCACTTCACATCAGGTTGCTGCACGGTTGAAATACCATTTGTGCAGACCACAACGTCAACACTAAAGTAAGGAGTTACCGCTGCCGCTGGCCCCTGCGGTTTCAGCCCTTCATCAAGAAGCCGGCCTAGGACCCTTCACAAGTGTGTTCTAATCCTTTAGGCCCTACGTCTTTTAAATCACGTTTTCCAGGAAGGAGTACAAACTCTTCAGACTACCAAGCCCGCCATTTAAATTGGGAACTTCAGAGGCCGGAGCCCTGGAGCCGGGGTCCGTCCCCGACAGCACAGGGTCGCCCCCAGCCCGCGCGCCCCCACCCCCTTGGCCTCTCGGAGGTGGGGATCCCCGCAGGGTTACCTGGGGGCCCTGTTAGGAACACGTGCCGGGCCATGCGGGGGCGGGGGCAGGGGTTGCGGTCTGGGTACCAGTCCGGGTTGGGGTCGCTACTCAGCTCAGGTCCGGACTAGGGTCGCGATTCAGGACCCGCCCACCGCGTGTCGCAGTCCCCGCCCCCAAGCGGTACTTCGACCGGAAGCACCGCCCTCAAAACCACGCATGCGCCTTCTACCACGTCCTCGATCCGCGCCTGCGTACTCAACCCTCGGCATTTCTGCGTCTGCGGCGGCAGTTCCTAAAAGCGGAGCGGGTTGTGCGGTCTCTAAGTTTTATGCTGGGTTCCGGGCTTTTGTGGGGTATTTGCAGAGATAAGTGCGTGAGAACGTCAGTTATTAAACTGTTGCTGCTTCAAGTGAGCGCCATCACCCAGGTTCTGCCCCTTGCCTCCGGACCTAGGAGCTGAAATTGCCCAAGGCTGCGGGGACAGCCCTTTTGTAGAAGGTTTGTGACCTGGAAGCATTCCTCAAAGGGGGATGCCATGTTAATGACTCCAACCTTGTTCTCAGCCATTCCTGCAGAATAGAATCAGCTGGGGAGTTTTAAACTTGTTCTGATGCCTGGGTTTCACCTGCAGTAACAAGGGATGTCTTCTGACAAAATTACAAGTTTAGTTTAAAGATCTAATTGGCTTATATTTAGGATCTAGAACCGGAAATAGATCATTCCATTAAAGCAAGTAGAGTGTTCCAGTAAGCTGCGCAGAGGAGGCTGGCTTTATGGGCAAAAAAAGGCTGAAGAAAAAACAACAACGAGTGGGTATTTCAAAGTTACTTTCCTTATAGGGTTAAAACAGATTGGACTTCGTTATTGTACTGACTCAGGTTGATTAAAATCTCCTGGTTTTTGGGAAAACTGGCCTGTTTCAAAGTTCAGTTTGGCTACATGGCACTTGGCACAAGTGACTCGATTCTGGTTTGGTCTAGTCTGCTAGGGCCAGTCCAAAACAATGACCTCCCATATATCTTGTTTAACATGAGTAATTGGTCTTGGGCGAGTCCTGAGCATCTGTATTCTTTTTCTTCTTTCTAAACTCCAGGAAGTTCCTGAAGTGCGCTAGGGTTGAGAACCACTGGTGTAGGCAGACTTCCCGTCCTCAGCCATGCATGGGAAGCCTAGTTTTCCCTCTTTACCTTCACACCAAAGTGTATAAAGGTCTCTTGCAAAGAATTAAATAGCTTCTCCGTCTTACTTTACCACTGCAAGCGTTCCAGCCAACGAATGACGTGGCAGTGGCCTTGGGCCACTTTTACCTGTAAACTCTCAGTCTAACATGTGTACAGCTTAATTTGTGGTCAGTCATTCCCCATCCTGGCTGAGAAAGCAATTCAGTGAGTGTTCAACTTAATTGATTTCTGCCCACACGTGGACCTCCTGGTTTCCCTTTAGCCTGAGACTTATACCAGTCCAATGATTATCTAAAAAAAAAAAAGTCGGATTTGTAAAATACAGCTGTCATCACCATTTCTGCAACACTTGTAATGCTATATTATTGTAACAGTATACTATTATCCCAGCTGGTAATGTAGGGTCTTCCACCTTGATTTATTTTGCACTCCATGCATATTGAATACAATGAAAAGCTGATATAGTAAGGTAAATCCATAGGAGGAGCTTCCAAAAAAAAAAAAAAGGAAAGAAAAAGTATATATCTCTTGTATCAAAAATATTAATTTTAAGTGTTAATCATGTGGCATTTTCCATCACTGAAAAGCAGTTTGGATTTGCAAGGCTCACCTTAAGTTGGGTTATTTTGTTTTGATGCTGTGCCTGGAATTCTGGCATCAGTTTAAATAGCTCAAAGATACATGGAATCCAGATGTAGTGAATCGATGTCTCACAAAACAGAAAAAAAGACTTCATAGATGAGTGTTCTTTATCCATGGAAAATAAATTATTTGGATGCTGGTTACATGGATATCTTCATGTTAGAAAATTCATCGATTTGATGCTTAATTTCTACAGTTTCCTGTATGCGTTATTGGGCAACAGTAACAACAAATTAAATAGCTTATATCCCTTAGAGATTAACAACAAAAGAAGAGGACATAAATGGAAACAAATTTTAAAATAAATGGGATCTTAACGTACTGTACCATACTGAATCCAACTTTTGCTTCTTATCAACATCCAATGGACAGATGTTTGTGTCTCCCCAAAATTCTTATTGTTGAAATCCTAACCCACAAGGTGAAGGTATTAAAGTGTGGGGCCTTAGGGAAGCAATTAGGTAATCAGGTCATGAGGGTGGAGCCCTCATGAATGTGATTAGTGCCCTTACAAAAAGGAGAAACTTGCTTTCTCTCTGCTCTCTGCCATGTGAAGATACGAGAAGACTGCTCTCTGTCAACCAAGATGAGGGCCTTCCCTAAGAACCCAATCATGTTGGCACCCTGATCTTAAACTTCAGCCTCCAGAGTTGCAAGAAGTAAATGTTGTTTTTGTTTTTGTTTTGTTTTTGTTTGTTTGTTTAAGCCACCCATCTGTGGTACTCTATTATAGTAGCCTGAGCTAACACACAAGGTAGAATTACCTAAGAAACAAGTGATTCCAATGATTTCTTCCTGCAACACCTGGGTGCAGCCTCACTTTTGACAGGATGCAGTGCAGTTCTTTATTAAAGCAGTTTGTAGGTACAACTCTACAGTCTCTATGGTTATAAAATACCCTAAAGTCCAAAAAACACTGTTTATTTTGTTTTCATATCTACCCTTTTCCCAGAACTGTCCTAATTTTTAAACTGCAAATTCTGTGTCTTAGAAAGCCCCTCAATCCCAAGCAAACCAGGATGAATGGTCATCAAACTGTTAAAGGAACACTTGGGAAGTAATGCAAAAGGTTTCATGTGGTTAAACAAGGTATTTCCTTCTTACAGACAAGTCAAAGGCTAATAATACTTTATTGTAAGCTGGTTGTCTTGTCAGCTGTGGTTATAGAATGAGTGTTTAATGCAGTCTGTACCTAACGTCTGAGCCATTCATACCCTGAGTTCTAATCCCTGTGCAGAACAATGTTCTATCCTGCCAGTAACCCAGTAGGACAGAAGCAGAGTTGACTCTACACCCTCACCCCACCCCTTCCTGCAGCGCATGCCTGGATGTCCCCCACGCCCAACTGCTACTGGCATCTAGTGGCATCTTCCTGGCTGGACACAGAATGAGAGTTCTGGCATATTTAGGATACAGTTTTCTAAGTACAGGAAAACTGAAAACTGAAACAAATAAAAAGTATAGATGTGAAAACAACAAAGTGGGAAGAGAGACCGTTGTGTTGTTTGACCAGCCCACTGTTCATTTCACTGGATGGAAATAGCAGCTAAATTCTCCTTTTAGGAACCCCTTTTCTCCCAGGCTCTGTGATTGATAGAAGAGAACCTCCCTCCTCTTCTCATTCTCCAAGGAGAATACATGACCCAAGCCTGGTCAATGAGATCATTCTGTCTTCCCAGCCTCAGTAATTGACTCTGAAGAAGCACATGATCCGGGCAACACATCCACTCCTAGCCAGTGGGGATCAAAGACAGCCACCAGCCACCATGACTGAAGCAGAGGGACAAGGGGAAGTGAGAGGGGGTGTAAGAGGCCTCCCCTCCCACTCTCCCCAGTCACCCCTTACTCATTCTCCAGGATGGGCTCAACTGTTACTGCTTCCCAAGGCTTTGTGATTCTCCAGGCCCAGCTCCTGCTTCCTTGGCCTTCCCTTACGGCACCCCCCTGATTGCTGGCATCTACCTCTTCTGCCACCCAGTTATGAATTCCCCCAAAAGCAAGAATCTAGGCTGGGTGCAGTAGCTCACGCCTATAATCTCAGCACTTTGGGAGGCCAAGGCGGGCAGATCGCTTGAGGTCGGGAGTTCCAGACTGGCCTGGCCAACAAGGTGAAACCCCTTCTCTACTAAAAATACAAAAATTAGCCAGGTGTGGTGGTGGCCACCTGTAATCCCAGCTACTTGAGAGGCTGAGGCAGGAGAATCATTCGAACCCAGGAGGCGGAAGTTGCAGTGAGCCGAGATCGCACCACTGCACTCCAGCCTGAGGAACAGAGTGGAGACTCCACCTCAAAAAAAAAAAAAAAAAAATCAAATCTAAAGAATTTTGCGCTATTCATCTATACCCAGAATATAGCATGGTACTTACAGCACATGCATCCATCACTCTGCCAGGAAATGTTGTACATTCTGGAGATACAGCAGCAAAGAAGAGACAGTCTCTGTGCTGGTATAGCTTATATTCTGGTGGGAGACACAAACAGATACACAAGTACATAAATAAAATGTCACAGAGTGGTAAGGCCATGCAGGAAAAATAAGAGGATGGGAAATGAAAAAGGAAGTGGATGTGCTACTCCATAGAAGGTGGTCGGGGAAGATATTACTGAGAATACAGCAACTGAGCAGGGAGCTGAAGAAGCAAGTCCTGCGGGTGTCATGGGGATTGCGGTCTAGATTGGCATGTGCAGAGGTCATGACGTAGGTATAGGTGGCCTGAGGAGGAACCAAGCAATCCGGTGTGGCTGGAGCAGAGTAGGAGAGAGAGATGCATAGGAGATGAGGTCAGAGGAGCTGCAGGGGGCCAGATAGTTCAGCCTTATAGACCATGGTGAGGACTCTAGCTTTTACTGTAACAGAGCTAGAAAGCCATTAGAGGGTTTTGACCAGAAGAATGGCATTATGTAAATTTTTTAAAAGGATCATCAGGCATGTGTGCAAGAAATAGACTACAGAAAGGCAAGGGTAGAAGCAGGAAGACCAATCTGAATGCTACTGTAATAATCCAGCTGCTACAGAAATAATGTTTGTGCATTTACTGGCACATGCTTATCATAGGTGCTCAACTGATATTTTCTTTTGCACATGAATGAGTAAATGAATGGTATCCCCATAGACGGTATCGGACTGTCAGGGAAGACAAAGAGCAGGGGCAGAGCAGCAGAAAAGTCCTACAGGCTTTCCCATCTTTAAAGGATAGGTGGTACATTGAGGTAACCATCCGATAATCATCCTCAGGTGATGTCCCCATGG